ACTGATCATTTGCTTCGAGAATGGAATTCATTCGAAAAACCCGACATGGAGTTTGATAGAGGAGCTTCTGCTCTATCGATCTATGTAGACAACTTTTTATGCAGGTGTCATTTCCTAAGAAAATTAGAAGAAGAACAAAAAACCGCTGCTGTGTTAACATTTTTAGTAGTATGAGTTTTATATTGTTCAGTTATTTGCTCTAATATTTTACCGTCAACAATAAAAATCAGCTTTAGATTCAAAGCGAACAGTAAAAACTGTATCGAATAGAATACTTTGAGTCAAATAAAATTATTTTATATGGATTCTCGGTAAACAGACGTTAATTCCACCCTTATGCTGTTTGTACATAAAAGTTTGCTAAGACTAGGTATACCACCGCTTGAAGCTAAATTATAAACGAAACTCAAGCCAGTTTCATCATTGTAACAATAAAAACTTATTGCTATATGTTTTCTAGTAGATTTTGTGATGCTTTTCATTAGTCTAGCGAATCAAGCTTCGATCTCCCTTCAGGAGTCATAGAAATATTAAGCGAGCTTTTGATAGAATACCTAGGGAATAACAAAAGTAGTGAGACTAGCATATAGTGGAAACAGACTGTCTTTATATGCAATATGATAATACCTGAAGTAATATCCCAATGATAGACTTCCAATAAGTGTCTCGTTATCATATGTGCTGCTTCTATCAGTACTCATTTTTAAAAGTAGGATTCAATAGTTTTTGAAAAACTATTGACAAAAATAAAGTAGAGGAGTGTGGTTGCTGTGGTTCGAAAATGGCGATGAGGACGCGTTGAATTATATGTCCCAGGTTTTTCTTATATCTTTTTTATAAAACATTCCATTAATCTTTTTAGAGACAAACTTATCTAACACATAACGCTCGTATATCTGACTCGCTTCACCCTCGACTATTTATTCGACTTTTTGATGTTCTATACTGCGTTACATTCTTCAAAACAACAAGTGTCCAACGTGTCAAAAGAGTGAATGGATGTGTGTGCGTTAATATTAGCATCGATTTCTTTGTCCAAGATGGTATGTGGGTCTGAATGAACATTTTTGTCACAAATACATCGATATAAATTGATGTTCCCACACTGATACTCAATAATAGTCCAAGGAACTACACTATGGTGACGATATCAACATGCACCCGAAAAACAGATTATATTCAATTTTCTGAGAGGTCACGAAGCAAAATGCACTCACGAAACTATGGTGAAAGGATGCTATACTCCTTGAAACTTGTAATAGAAATTTTTTCGCTTGCCAAAACATCAGCCAGCAATATTTTTTTCCTGGAGTATGCTCTACAAAAATACGGATTTAGTTGAACTCCTAGCTAAAAATTAATCATGCTAGGTTTAGTCTTTAATCGGACTAACGTACTTGAAAGAAGCTCCTACTCAAAGTAACCGTCATATTAGATAGATAATTTGAGTGTATCCGTATACATTTCGACATTTGAATGAGTACAGACGAGAACACATCTCAACAGAAAAACTTTCGTCTATTTCATTTATATCTACTTATGATACTATGAATACAAAACCTCTGGCTGATGTTTTCCGCCATATTCAATATTAAAACATTGTGCATGTACAGAAAAACTGTTCTTACACTTTATTTCAAAATATTTCTCAGTTCTTAGGAACTGTTACTCCTTATTCAAACTTATTAGGTCTAGGTTGTTGTTGTGTGTTTGATGAATACAAACAGTCTGAAGCGTATCTTTAAGGCAATTTTTAGTGCACCAGCTACTTTTTTGCTGGGGACCTCCTGCAAGGCACCATTCACGCCAAGCGATTGCTATGTTTCATTATATTTCTCCATAACGTCATCTTTTTCTTATTTAGACTTCACCTAATCTCAAATTCGGCTTAATCTGAAAAACTATTAGCCCTGTAGCACGAGAATTCTCAATGGCAATAGCTAAGTTAAGCGTCATTGTGAACTATATCTGATTTCCTTAATTTCATTCTGTAACTGAAAGATCAGAGTTTTATTGCAATTTCTCATTAAAGAAATATTAGTGTAGCATTCTCAAAAAAATTCAGCTTTTAAACTTATCTTTCGTGAGCGAAATCTTCAGAATAAATGCAATATGAGTCCTTAGTCATTCGTTTTACATGGGAGCACTTATAAAAACAGTTTGTTTATTGTTCATTTAACATAAAAGATATGGCATCATTTTTATACATCAATTTTTTATTACTTTCTTCCACTTATCACATTGAAAATTTCAGGAGCTAGCTAGCGATTCTCTAAATATATACAAAGTTAAAAAAATGGTTCTTTATAAGAATAATAATAATAAATAACAATCTGTTGACATATCCCATTTTAAGACTCTGCCTTATCTATGGAGAGATCTCTTCAGAGCATGGATATAACCATGTGAAAGAAGTGGAAGAAATATGCTCTCAAAATCAGTTTCTGTTGGAAAACTGTTAGAACATCTAGCCAATTTTTATTCATTTCCTCTGTCGTTTCAACAGACAGCACTGTGTTTCCTTGAACATTGATGGCTTTTCTTATGCCTTTAAAAACTGCTGTGATACGAAGATTTGACATGGAAGGCACCTCTTCGTGAAATCACAATTGTATCTTTATAAGAAATATGTAAGATTTTAAGACGCGAATCACTTCAATCGTTGAGAGTTGTGAAGAACGTTGTCGAGGTTTTCCTAATCTGCTAGTCTTTGTAGTTTTTCAAGACATTCCAATAGCTATCTATGTATAACAAATAGTTTCGGTGTCTGTTCGAATCATAGAGAGCATGGATACAAATCACCAAGGTTCTCTTATAACTATCGAATAATCAGGATCGATTTCAGTAGCATATTAATTGCTATCCTTTTCATTAAATGCACGAATAGCTGCAAACAGTCTGTGTTAACAAGAAAAAGTGACTAGCTTCTACACTATTTTCATAATATTGGCAAAATTTGCCAATATTTACTTTTATTTTCTTCTTTGCATACATTTAGACACAATACAAAAGCTCACATAAACTATATTTTACTACTGGTATCATTTCAGGACAGAAGTCTTCTGAACACCGATAGACTAAAGGACTTACGAGAGATACTGCAATATCAAAATACTTACGTCTGCTTCTTGTATTAATGCAATGTATATTGTAATGACGAATGTAACACGTTGCTAATGTATTGATGTTGTTTAATAAAGAAAATGAAAGCATTATATTGCTTATGTACACATCGAAAAACTTTTTCGCTTACGTTCATTCATCCGTATCCATGGGATAAAGCATGATCATATATTATTGAGAGAGAATGCTTTTTTTTGTCCACAACATAGTATCATTCTTTTGCTTGTTCTATCACTTATCGACCAAACAGCTTGAATAATGAAGAGAGATAGAGTTAATCGATGGTTGAAAAAATGTGCATAATAGCACGCTTTTTCTTTTTCTTTCTATCGTTGCACAGAATGAGTAAAATATACAGGCTTCACAAGCAATAGTACGGTGCTTTATATCATTGATTCTGTTAAAACTGAGCTCAGCCGTCTTTTCTGCTTATGACAGAAGATGTGGGTTTCTCATGACACTTTTAGAAGCATTTCTTGTCCATACACAAAATCCAAATGTCAAAAATCGACATTTGGATGAAGTCTTGTCCTAAGGATCGTTTCTGATCCTCAAAGAAACTTGAGAGTCACTTTCAACATCTGCCTCGGCTATTGTCATCATGAGTATCCTTGCTTTGATTCAGACTCATTTTCTAGTCATTATTTTCGTTTAAGTTGCAGTTCAGATCATCATTCTGTTGTCTATCTCGGTGGGAAGTCAGCTTCCAACACAACTTACATTTTCAACCGACAGAATCAGTTACATTATCTACTTCAACCTTGATATCAAGATCTATCAGACTGGTTCTGTTTACACGGTTGGGAAAAATATTATTCCAGGGGGGTAACACCATCATTTCGAATAGAGTAAATGATGAATTTTATACCAAATGAAAGCCCGTGAAAAACGGGATTTATTGATACTAAATAGTAGGAGTTATGAAGACCTTTGTCTGTTAAATTCGCGAAGTTTATATAATTCTGTAGAATTTAAAGGTCATAGTTTGCTGTTACCGACTTGAAAGACGAAAAAAGAGCGAAAACTTATAGAAAAAATTAAAGTGACTATGTTTTGGTGGTCATACAGCGTAGTCTCGACTGAAAGAATATTATTATCTTTTCGCGTTCTGCTATCCATGCCACGTGAGATAGATAAATAATAACACTTTTTTGCTTTTCTTCTTAGAGAAGGTTGCGAAAGAGAAAAGTTTGAATAGTGCGTGAAGTGGTATGCAAGAGCCATTTCTTATTGATACATATCTGACAAAAGAGAATACGTTCTTCTAATAAATCGACGAATTGCATTACTTGAGAATGGCCGGTACTTATGATAGTGAACAAGAGAGAGTGATTGACAGAATTAAATGCATCGCTTTCCGTGAAGCTCGCGACGCAGGTGCAACTTTTATTAATAGACGATGGGTCGCGGACAAAATCCACCGTACAACTCGATTTGTCACAGAATGGTGGGAAAAATCATATGACCAATGTTTCACCGATTATTCAAACGCTGGTCGCGAGCTCAAATTATCACAGGCAAGTCGAGACATCATTCATAAAGCAAGTGGTCGACAATGAAAAAGTTGTTCTGTTGTGACGAAAGAGATTGCAGAAGAGCAAAAGGAGTACGTCACTGGAAGAACAATCAATAATTATCGTCACAGAGAAGGATTGAAGCCATTTCATGTTATTCCAAAGCCATTGAAATCTGAAACTCATATATCAGATCGCTTGTGGCTTTGTGAGTGGTTAGAAGATTGGACTGAAGAGGATTTTCTTCATCTGGCACCATCGGATGAGTTTTATGTTTGGCTTGTTCGTAGACCAAATTATCAAAATGATAGAATTTGGGCCTTAAGCGTTGAAGATATTGACGAGGATGAAAGGTACCGTCAAATGGTTCAAAATCAAATATGCATTGGAATTTTTATAATGTTCACTTGTAAAAGATTGCTCTGGGTGATTACAGATAAAGGTGAATCTTTGACTGGTGAATATTTTCGTGACATAATTCTAATTCAAAATGTAATTCCCTTTTTAAATGATGAAGAAAATGTTATTGATCCTGATGAAGCTACATTTGTCCATGACAAGACACCATGTATGCGAGCAAACAAGACCCAACATTTGCTTCAGGACAGTAATGTGAAGTTTTGGGGTAATGATATCTGGCCAGGCAACTCACCTGATCTCAATGTGGCAGAACGTATTGGATCAATAATCAAAGATGAAGTTGAGAAAAAAATGTTATCAGAAACTGAAGATAATCGCTATCGTGAAGACATACTCAAAGTGCATCTTACAAATGTTTTGACCAATCTGGAAACAGACACTGACTTATTTGAAACACTTTTACGTTCGTATCCATCACGTCTTCGTGCAGTCAAGAACACTAATGGTCGTCATACGCATTATTGACTCTATTCATTAATATTGAAGAAATAAACTATTCTGGAACACATTTAATTTGAATTTCACNAGAAGAGTATTGGATGATTTACAAATATATAATAATCATGATTAAAAGAATGAATCAGTATTATAAGTGATAGAAACTAATTAAGACAAACAACTAATTTATATTAAATGATGAAAAAAATAAAACGTTTTTATGTTTTCGTGATTTGATGCGTATTAAAGAGCTATGTCAATATGTCAATCATTGAAAACAATCTCTACTTGTGTATTTTCGAAGTTAATCATGTTTCATTTGATTATTTTTCTCCTAATTTCATCATAAAACTCTATCGTATTTCGATATTATATAAATAGATTGATTATTACTAACCAATCATTTATTTATTATAAATATTATGTTACTTTGATATTTATTTAATAGAAAATCTTAAGTTTTTCTTAAATTAACAATATACTATAGATAGATGAAATAATCGAAAAGTTCTATTTATTATTATAATGTTAAATAACTGCTAAAACTAAACATAATTAAATGATATTTAATCAGAATTCGAATAATATACATTCCATATCAATTTAGAAATATGAAAAAATTCATCCATATTGAAAAATAAAGCAATTAAAAGAGATAGATGAATAGCTACATACAAGTTTCATCACTGATAACGGTTCGATCGAATGCTTTCCTGATCAATACTCACATTAAATCATCTCGAACCAATAAGTTCTATAAAAAAAGCTACTTATTCTATCTACATATATAGAAAACTCATATAAAGTAACGATTAGTTACATGACAGATACAGACGAGAGATCTATTGTTGTTTTGTTTTTGTTTCACAACGAGTTTCAAAAAATATAAATTGGTATCGACTTTTGAATAAGTAACAATGATAATAATATGATTTTTATTTGATATTATCAAGTTAGAAGAAATTTCTTTTAAGAAATATCGAAATAAAAAATATCAACATTTCTAACAATACATAAAACTAACGAAAAATTTTTTCTTTGTAACCAATACATCATTTAGTTTTAGTATGTTGCTCGACCTAATATAATATTAAAAAGACAACAATATATCGAGAATAGACATAAAAGTATTTTGAAGATGCAACAAGACTTGAAAATGCTATCATGCTCTAGGCATAAAAACAAAGTTTATCTTTCTTATATTATCTTTTATGCATAAAACAATAACTTATATGTACTTTTCTTATATAGATTTTTTTCCATTAATAAATATTATATTCAATTATACATTTATTTTTCATTTCATATAACAATTATCTTTGCTAAAATAAAGATTTTCAATCTATCTAGATTAGTATGTTATCTCGAAATACTTCAGCATTTAATACAATTGATTAATCATCGTCTTACCAATCTTCTAGATTACAAGGAAAGAATTTTGATACAATATCACCTGGTAATCTATAGTTTTCTCCACATTTGTGGTTGTTTTTAAAAATATGCGAAGAATATTTGTGCTATGCCCTATCCTTTACTTTTGCTTTTTCTTTGTTTTCTTATCAGATGTTTATAAGATATTTGTAGGTTTTCATGATTTAATTGATTTGATAAACGTATCGCAAAAGCTTAACAAAAGAACAAAAGAGTAGAAAAGACTAGGCACATCTTAAAGAAAATTTTCATAGAAAAAACAATTTTCCAATTCGCAGTTGTGAATAGGAAATGCTACTCTTGTCTTTAAATGCATTGATGCTTGTTTTTTATTGTTAGATACGATGTTTTTAATTAAAATCGTTGTTTAAATACATTTCTTTTGTCAAGAAAAATGCGTTTTGGGTGAGGGTGGGGGTGTAGCGGTGGATGTGGGTGTTGATCGCTTCTCCTTCCACATTCACACACCCACACCCACACACCGTTGTGTGTTTAAAACAAACGTGATTTTCTTTTACTTCTCATAAGCTTAATTTACACACATGTGATTTAATTGCACCAACAGCACAGTGTAAGAATGAGTGTGATAAGTGAAAAATGAAGATGAATCTCATAGAATAGACAAATAGATCATCTTGTCGATGAACGATAGCTGAGTGTCGATAAGGACCTTCTGTTTTTATCGAAATGCTAAACACAAAAATTATATTCATTGTGAAGTAATGAACATTACAGAAGATAAAAGCTCGAAAATAAAGAAAATGAAATGAATTATGATAAATTTCTAAACGAACTACTACATACACTCATGTAACGTTTTCTGCATAATTAAAAGAGCTTGGTAAACATTCGTATTTATATATTCATATCCAATTTTTCTTATCCTTGAATAGATTGTTAAGTATTTTCTGAACTCTCTAAATTATTTCTGTAATACTTATAAAGATATTTTGGCAATTCATTTTTCGGCATTGTCACAAATTCTACATGCGACCACTTGTCGTTGAATCAATTATCGTAGATCCCTTGAGTTATTAATGATACAAAATTGAACGAAAAGCGCCATGAATTGCTTACAATTGAAAGATATCTTCAATCAAGATCAGCAACGTTGTATTTAAAAGAGTTGACCATTTTATATAAAATAGAAAATGATTAAAAAATTTTATATCTTGTCTTGACTCCTAAATAAAAAACAAAAATAATTTACCTAAATATTTCTCTTTAAATTCAGATTAATTTCAAATAATTAATGAATAATTTGAAATACTTTTTTTTTGACAAATTTAATTAATTCTGAATTTATTGACATCACAATTGTTGAAAATTATGCTTTTATATGATTGATAAGCAAATAATAGAATTCTTTTCGTGATGTTTAATAAATATAAAACAAAGGTTAAAATATTTGTGAATATTTTTACCCTTTATATGAATTTCATTTCTTCGACAGCAATAAACTATTTTATAAAGGATATGAAAATATGTCATGAATTAAATATGAAAAACAATATTTTGAATAGAAAATGATCGATTATTCTCTCAAACAGTTTTATTCACAAATTGTAATAAATACAAAATAAATAGTTGAGAAAAGATTAACAAAAGTGAAATAAACAGTGGCGAAATGGATCAATTCTTTTTAAAGTGATTTCTGGATTTTGTAAAAAACTTCAATAACTACAAAGAGAATAACTTTTAGTTTTAAATATATAGTTGTCTCGTAAATTTCATCAGTCATATACATACATCGAACTTTATTAAGAAGTAAATATATACCCACTAAAAAATTCAAGTGTCAATTGGTTGTAAAGTCAAAACTGAATTATCTCCATCTAGTATTCGTTCAAAGAGTTAGTAGTTAGAAAATTTTTCTTCTATTCATTTACTAAACCTTCGTCCATAGTAGAAGACCTTGTGGAGTGTACAATGTGCTGTACGTGATAGAAGACTTCTTCTAATTTTCCCTTGGTAATCTTGAAAAAAACTCTGAATAACTCTGAAAATCCAGGAAGATTTTCCAGAAAAGGTTTTAATTGAAATCCGTTGAAAAATGTGTAATCATAATAGAAGACTCCAGATCTTTTTTTATTGAAGGATACTCTGAAACAAAATCATATGAACAATAAATTTTAGAAAATTAAGTTCGAATTAAAAACGTATCGATTAGAATAAGTTTATTTCGTTGTTTGACATATATTCTTATGGTAATTAGACAAAATGTAATTTTTTTTTCTAGCTGATCACGAGATGTCACCAAATCGAAATCAGATACGTGAAAAAGTACTTGTTCATCTCATTTCAATGACTGTGCAACTCAAATATCTTTTAGTTGAACGATTCGATTGGCCTTTGCATGTTGTTCAATATATAAGTCTTTGTTTTGCTTATGATCTTATTTTTTAAATTCTTGAATATATTTCTGCTATGCAAGGTGCGCGTAATGCAAAAGTTGAACAGAAAATAAATTTAGTTAAATTGTACATCAATCGATAGAATTTTTCACACTCGTTAAGAATATATAGTTTTTAACGTCTTTACTGGAAATTTGAAGAGTACTCTATCATATATTAGTTTTTTTTCAATAAAGCTATTTTATTTAAATCGAGCATATAAAACTGTGGTATTTAGGCAAGTTTGATGACATTTAATCAATGTGGTTCGATTTGGCTGGTTTAATAAGACCCACCTTGCATTTGATCGACACCCTCACATAGTAAACCTATCTCCTTTTTTACTATAAGAGCTGAAAATATTTTCTATATAGCATTCGAACCATCAGATCGATAAAAAAGGTTTTGTATGCTCTTAACTCAGCTCCTTAGCATTATTGAGAAAATTCACTTTTTCCACCTGAATGGCCAAATTGCTAAAAATTGCCGATGTTATTAGAAATTTTTCCGGTAAATGCCTTAGTTTTCGATAGATTAAGTACGATATTCTGAATCAACATAAAAACCTGCGTCGAACAACCTACATTTCGTCATAAAAAAATTTACCATCATAATCTAGTCCGCCCTCCTTCTCAAGGCAAAATTAAGTAAAGAAAAGCTGAGAAGGGTACATGCCAGATTTTGATGTTTCATTTTTTTTTGACGAAATATAGGTTATTCGACGCAGTTTTTTTATGCTGATTTAGAATATCCTACTCAATCTATCAAAAAGTAAGGCGTTTGGTAAAAGTATTTTGAATAACACCTTCAATTTTTAGTCATTTGGCCATTCAAGTGGGAAGAGTGAATTTTCTCAACAATGCTTAGGAGCTAAGTTAAGAGCATGCATAACTTTTTTCTTATCGATCTGATGATTCGATTGCTATATAAAAAATTATTTTAATTCTTATGGAAAAAATGGAGATAGGTTTACCACGTGAAGCTGTCGATCAAATGCAAGGTGGGTCTTGCTAAATCAGCCAAATTGAACCACATTGATCAAATGTCATCAAACTGATCTAAATACCACAGTTTTATATGCTTGATTTAAATAAAATACTTTTATTGAAAAAAAGTCTAATCTAAGATACATTTATTTTGAAATTTATAGTGAAAAAGCTATTTTTTTGCTTTCTCTGAAATTTTTTGTATTTTACAATTTTC